ACTCAACCGTAATCAACAACTCCTCCGATCCCAACCGGTTTATCGCAACATTCTCCAAAGCCACACGCTTCCTCATTATTATCAATATTTTTTTTTTAATAAACCTTCTGGACATTTTATCTAGGCTTAGTCATCGGGTTTTCTGCCCGAGTCTCCTAAACCGAATTTTTCGTACTCATTACTCGAGACTGCTAATTTTTGCGGTCGGAGCACTTGGAGTATAATCCGTTCGATTTACATTTTTTTTAATATATACATATACCAAAACTCACCATTTCAACAACCGCCCATTTTCCAAACGTCATCATTACGGGGTTAACAATTAAAATATAAAATACGACTCAAAGGGGGTGACTAGTGAATATTATTCTCGAATGAAGAAAAAGGATAAACAAATAACAAAAAATGCCTCAATCATGTTCACCTGTCTCAAATCAAATCGACTTCTCAAAGCAGACTCAAGGCAAGTCTGATTTACTAACATTCAGACCAATATCTCATAAGAAATGAATATAGCTCAAAAATCTCACAGGGTATATATGCATAAGTGTTAATCAAGACGACCAAGTCACATCAAAATATGCTACTCAAGATCATCATCACATTTTTCCAACATCATCAAACAATCACTAACCAGTCTCGAAATTCACCAACGTCCAAACTCAAAAAACAAATAAACCTGACACTAGACTGGTCCACCAAACAAAAGACAAAAATAAACACAACCTAAAACAGAAAAGACTAGACCTGGTCAACCATGTAGTCACATAATCATGCAAAAAATCCCCCCACACTTAAACCAGACAATGCCTCCATTGTTGATCGTAGGTGAAAGGGAGTCACACCACGTAACTAACCGACTCGAAACGAACAACTATATAAAACCAAGTGAAAGAGAAAAAGAAATCGTACTATCAGGCAGTTCGGGGGCATCTGGTGCAGCCAGCTCATTAAAAAATCCCACTAACTTGTGCGATTTTACCTCATTATGTTCTATTTACTCTATAGTTTCCACAAATTATCTTCTACACATACTCATTTAAACATCGGAGGATCTTCACTGGAAAACCTCTCCGATGTGAATTTTTGCATGTCGAAGATTCAACCTGCGAGGAAGCACGTGAGTAGGCCAATTCCAACCGGTCGAGGGTCTTTTCGTACCAGTTAGTGGGATTTTGACCTTCTATTAAAATAATATTACAAATAAAATAATTAAAGTTGATTTGATGTAAAAAAGTAAGAGAGAGATAATGAGAATTGATGATTAAATAAAATTATGTGAGTCGATGAATAGGGAATTAAGGTTGATGTAATGTGTAAAAATGATTGATGGATATTATTTAATTATATAGAAAATATTGATGATAGTGATGTTTAGTTAAAGTTAGTTATATTGGAGTTCAAAAAAAGTTATTGGTTAAAAATGATTGATTTTTTTTTTTTTTTGAAATATTTTGTATCAAGCTCTATTTTTTCAACAGTTCTGGCCACCGGTGAAAGAGGATCTCTGTACAACTGTGGTGAGTTTTTAATATCTGGTCGATTGCTCTAGCACTGGAATCATACTTTGATTACACTTGTGTCTAAATATGCTAATCCTGACGACCTCAGTCACTTTAGGCCAATGTAGTGATTGCAAATGAAGGGCTACATTTCTTAAATCGTGACAGAACAGGGAAACATAATTACATAGCGATAAAATTAGACATGATGAAGGCTTATAATCGAATAGAATGGAACTGTATTAGGCTTACTATGCTCGGTTTGCAACTCAATTTGTTAAATGGATAACGGAATGTGTATCTACAATATCATTCTCTTTTATCATTAATGTTAATACCAATGGTTATATTTCATCTCAGAGAGGACTTAGACAGGAGACCTATTGTCTCCCTACCTATTCATACTTGTCTCAGAATTGTTGTCTGCAGTGATATCAGCTGAAGTGGAAAGAGGAGTCTTTAAGGGGGTGTCTGTGGCCAGAGGAGCGCCCATGCTCACTCATTTACTATTTTCTGACGATTCATTGGTCTTTTGCAAGGCAAACATAAGTTCAGAGGTCGACCAGGTATTTGGGGATGCCCTTAGGCATTGGCCGATCCATGAGAGAGGTCTTTGGGTTTGTGATTGAGGCAGTAAGGAGTAGAGTGATAAGCTGAAATAATAAATATCTTTCTTCAGCAGGGAAAGAAGTCTTAATAAAATCAATTCTTAGTGCTCTACCATTATCTGTGACCTCTCAGTACATGTAAAGAAGTGGCAAGCATCTTTGCTTAATTCTGGTGGTGTAGAAGCTGTGAACACTCCAAGAGGCTGCATTGGAAAAGCTGGGATCTTCTCACTATGTCTAAGAAACAAGGAGGTCTGAGGTATACAGATGTCAGCATCTTTAATGATGCAATGTTGGTAAAACAGCTTTGGAATTGAGGAATGAATTATATGTACAAATGACGAGTTTTGCAGAAAAGGTTGTTAAATGCAAAATATCCAATTTTTGTTATTATATTCTAAGTAATTAATCATCAGAAAACAAGAAGACGACGGAGGAATTAGAGATGTGCATGCGAGTCGCGTAGAGTATAAACAAAACCACCAGAAAATGAAAGTGAAAATCGAAAACAACACAAGCAGCAGCTTATTTGCAATCAGAATAAAGGAAAACATCAGTTTCGTCCATGTAAACAA